CCAGAATACCAAATATAGTATCCATGATATAAAATCTTTCAACACTTTTACAGTTTTTTGCCAAAGTAAATCAGGGGAAACTAATTATGAATAAATACGAGAGCATTATATTTGTGTTTTTGCTGTGACAGTGTGGAACTAGTCCAGCTTAGTCTATTCATGCATTTCAGCTTCCCTTTTCATAAAAAAACATTTTCAGGACTTTCCACAGTTCAAAGGAAAATATCTGCTATAAAAGCCACAACTTTCATTTCATTTTCTGAAACCGATGGATAGGCCTGGTTGACAATAGGGGAACATGCATGCTTATTCTTTTGCAAATCATGTATGAAATGATTCTAGTATCTATTAAAAATGTAAATAAAGAAAAAGTCAATCTGTCCTGAATGCACTTTACTGGTGTTGGTGAGAGTCTGTCAAATTGTTTTTTTCCATGGAGATGTTATTGCTCTGTCTGAAATGTCTCCCAGTGTGGCATTAAACCTTTCCAGGTCAGATCGGTGGAGAGGTGACCCCACTCACAGTTAGAATACCTGTTTTTATAGGTGTTTTTGAGCTATAAATCCACCTGTAATTGAATAAATGTAAGGTAGAGCTGATTAATGTCACACTGTGGAACATTCCAGACAAAGCAATAGAAACAAACAAGTGGCAGACCCCAAAACAAAAAGTTCCATAGTGCACCTTTAATGATTTCACAATGCTTTATTGTTTTCGTGATTTCCTGACCTTCTGTACTTGATCCCGTGTGAGTTTTTCATGCTTGTTTCTAGTGTCATAGAAGGGTAGTTTGAACCACTCCACTGTGAGGAGGAGAACACTTCATTTGCTTTGAGTGCTTTTTTGCTGTAGCTGTTTACTGCAGTTTATCCACTTGTAAAATAGAAAAGACAGAAATATATGTTGCTTTGTGGCTTCCCTCCCTCCAGCCAGAGAGTGAATAAGTGATTTCTTAATGTTATCACAATTCTTCAGTTCAATGTTTTTTTCAATGGGCTTTCCAAAATTGTGGATTTAACCAGCAGAAAGTTAAAAAAATCAAATCTTGTAAGAGTCACTGGTCATTCAAATTACATAAAAGGTTAAATATATCATTGTACACAACATTTTACACATAAAAATGTACTTTTGTGAGCTTTAAGTCAGCTTCAAGTTAGAATGTTGTTACTACCTCATGTCATGAAGTGGTAGTTTTCAAGTTAACAGCTCCTTTAACCTAACCAAGCTGACGCCATCTAGTTCCTCCGCTCACTTTCATTTCTCTCCAGCGACTAGCTCAGGAATCTAAATACACTGGACGATTTGTAAGAACCCCAAAAGTTGTAGACTGCGCAACCGGCCAATCAGAGAAGAGCTGTGAAGCCACGACGTCAAACTCAAGCTCTTGTCTGGGTAAACAGTAAACAAAACGTAATAGTCCAATGAGGTTCATCTGGTCTCTCGATAATTTATGTTATTAGGTCCTTTTTTCAGACCAAGAGTTTGTTTTCAGACCTGACAGTTTCGACTCACGTGATGTTGCTGTCATCCTGCCGGCAGGAAGACAGCACCAAAACCTGTATAAATGAGCTTACTGTCATGTCATGGCAACATCACGAGATCACTCTGAGGCAGACCACTAGTGAGCAGTCGAAATTGTCAGGTATGAAAACTCTTAGTCTGAAAAAAGAACCTAATAACATAAAGTAAACAAAGCGGTCGAGATGGATGTAGACAAAGCCATATTCTTTTCAACGATTTCCGAGGAAAGCCGGAACAAAGAGAATATTTGGTGAATTTTATCAAGGGGAAAGACGTTATTGCCCTTCTTCCTACGGGATTTTGTGCAGTACATACGACACGACCAAATAGCAGCGACTGGTTAAATTAAAAAAGTACCCGCCTCCTGTCGAGCAAATGAATCATAATGCTGTGAGGTCACATGGTTTCCACGAAATTCAGTAGAGATTGGCAATTTCAGGGCTGAAATTATCCAAGTGATTCTAGTGAAGGTGTGTGGAGTTTAAAAACACAATGGAGCACTTTCTGTATTACCACATGACATGAGTGTTTTTTCTTTGAGAGAACTAAGCCTAAATATGCAGAATTTGTGTGTTAAACGTGTGTAAATGAATCAAAACACAACTCTAGGTCTGTTTATGATGAGGAAACAATATTATAACATAGATCAGAAAATAGTGTAAAATGTGCCCTTTATGTATAAGTGTAATGGTCTCTGGACTATAGACAGCGAGGCTCAGCTGGAGAACAGGTCAATACACTGTGAACTGAGTGGTCGAATCTTACATGGAGATGCTTTTTAAAACCGTGGATCGCGTGCTGCTGCAGGATGACCTTGAAGGACATTTCCATCATTTACACAGCCATTAAGAACTACTCTGTTGGTAAAATGAAAAAAGAGAGAAAATTTCTCTGAGGATTTAATAACAAACTCATTAGCAGCTTCCAACAGGGCGGAAATGCTTTTTAATTAGAGCAACACCTGATTAACGGCCAATTAACAGCTCCACAGCCACTCCAGTCTGTAGCACGTTGGCAGCTTTAGAAACGAAGAAGAAGAAGAAGAAGAAGAAGAAGAAGAATACAATGGGGAGAAGACTGGGAGAGGGGGAAGCTCCAAATGCTGCAAATGTTGTAAAGACATGAAACCATAGACATATATTAGTGTCGTAGTACTTGAGACTGGTCTTGGCCTTCGAGACAGTTTTTTTTTTTTTCACAACACTCAACTGTGTTTGGTCTTGGTCTTGTCTCGAAGACGGTTGGACTCGGTCTTGTTTCGGTTTTGAAGGTGCCTGGACTTGGTCTTGTCTCGGTCTTGAGGTCACTCATGACACACAACAAGTGATAAAATGGAGATAGATTTATAAAAACATTGATATATATGTGAGGTAGGGATGGGCATTCGATGAAATTTTCTTAATCGATCGTCGGAAGAATTAACGATCATTATCGATTAATCATTAACGTTTTTATATTAAAATGATCATCATTATTATTACTATCTGCACTACTAATGTGCATAAATAAATTCAACTTTATGACATATAAACCGTAACGACTCTAGAGCCACATCAATCCGTTTGACATTATAATGTGTTTAATTCAGTTTTGCGCAACTCTCACAGAAACAAAACTTAAAACCGCATCGCTAATTTGGATAAACTCAGCGAAGATAAAACTACAGCTCTTGTGTCGCTGATGCGGTCAACTTCTGTCAGATTAAAAGACATGATTCAGTGGAATACAGGTTAGTGTGACCATATTTGCGTTTGTCAAAACCAGGACACTGTATGAGGGGTGGGAGGTGGGGCCTCATCATCGACATTGCGCGACTCTCACCTGGCAAAACTTTTTCCCACTGGACACAAAAACATATGTGCTGCTTTGTTCACTGTGCACATGGACTCACACTTGTCCCAAACGCAACGGAAAGCGTGGAATTTCTTGTACAAATCATCGTTAAATACACATTTGTGCTTCGGTACGCTGCAGGCGGACCTACTGTCTGTGTCTGCTCGCTCCGTCTGAGTGCAGAGAGACTCATGTACGGACCCCTGTTTGGTCACACTACGCACAGCAACCTACATTCGGTTTGTCGATTAAAATTAACGTAATCGATGAAATTCTTAATGATCAATTATCGATTAATCATGCCCATCCCTAATGTGAGGCCTTGGTCTTGTCTCAGAATCAACCGCGTTTGGACTCAGTCTTGTCTCAGTCTTGAAGGTGCTTGGATTTGGTCTTGTCTCGGTCTCAAGGTCTGACACTCGACAAGTGATAAAATGGAGATAGATTTATAAAAAACATTGACATATATGTGCCAAAATAACTGTAAAATACAAACAAATGTGAAAAATGACAAAGATGGTCAATTTGGTCTCAATGGGCTGTGGTTTCAGGCTTGTCTCGGTCTCAGCCTTTAAAAGTCTTTTGTCTTGGCCTCAACCCTCAGAGGTCTTTGTCCTGTCCTGGTCTCGGGACCCTGTGGTCTCGGACAGGTCTCGGTCTCGATTAGTGCTGCTCTTGACTACATCTGTACATATAATTGGACATAGCTGACCTGCTATTCACTGCATTCCAAACAAGAAGTGAGCATAGGCACATTTCCGGCTCCATCGTCTCACCCCTCTCTCTGTAACTGCTGCAGTGAGCCTTGTCATTTTGTTCTTCAAATGTTGTAATAATAACCAGCTCTACATGGCCCTCCTGTTTTTATTCTACTGTTTTTTCCTAAAATAAATTCCTATTCCTAATATGGAACTCAGCTCCAAATTTGCTCCTATAACCGCAATCCTGATGAGCTTCATTTGACTGGAGCTGAACGCAATGGGTGAGGTCACACTCCCTTAGTCCACTTCTTTATACAGTCCTACAATGAGACATACTCTACCAGCCAAAAGTTTGGACACAACTTCTTTCTGAATGCACCTTTTTTTTTAACTTCACCACTTTGTACATTTTATATACACACAGACATCAAATATGTTACGCAAGATTTATGGAATTATGCAGTGAAGAAAAAAGTTAAATAACTCACCTAAATATTTTTTATATTTTCTATTGAAATCCTCAAAGTAGCCATTCTTTGCTTTTTTGACAGAGCTGCAAACCCTTGGCCTTCTCTCAATGAGGTTTTTGAAAAAGCCTCCTGAAATGGTTTTCTCAGCTGTGTCATGTCGGGGTCAGGGAATGCCAAAAGTGCAAACCAGGCTTTAAAGTTAAGGGTGGGTATTTTTTATCTATCTTTTTTAGTTGAGTTACTTTTTGTTCACTACATTCTGTATATTGTTTGTCCTTTCATAGTTTTGATGCCTTCAGAGAGAATCTACAATGTAAAGAATCATGGAAATAAAGAAGAAAAATGAAAAAGTGTATCCAAACTTTTGACTGGTCGAGTTAGCGTAAGGAGGGGGTTTATATCACTGAGTCAAATGATCAAAGAAGGCAGTGTCCATCAAAGTCAGCATCTGTAAACAAGGAAACAACTGCTCGACTGTGAGTTGTGTCATGAACAGAGCGTCTCTGTCTCGCCTTTTATTAAAAGAATAATAGTTTCAGTGTTAAGATTCACACATGGGACATTCATCAATGCTTTTTATTTATAAAGAAGCTGTGAATATTAGAGTAAGATCAACTTTCTGCCGTAGAATAGACAAGTCAATGTCAAAAGCACCAATGTGTGTTACTGTCCAGACAGAGTGATCCTGTGTTTTTCACTTCTGACAAATACAAAATAAAAATGTCCAAATATATAAGAGTCTTTTGTTGACAACCATCTGCTTTGCCTGCAGTAAGAAAGGCCCAGAAAAATTAGTGTTACTTGAAGACAGGTTCATCCATAGACATTTGGGGGCCTGGAACAAGAAGCATCACGAAGAAGCATTAATTAATAGTCAGAGGTTCCAATTCTGGGCCTGTATAACAGACCCCTTTGCCCCCCACGGCGTCAACTCCCCTGCACAGAGACCTCAGACAAGCTGTCAGTCTCATAATCCCAGTCACTGTAGAGCCTGTTTCCTCTCAACAGAACCCATGTGACCAATCTTGAGTCCATTCTTCAGTCTGCTCCTCACCGCGATAAGAACGACCTGCTTCTTCCAGTGGAGGAGACTTCTTCACTTTTATCAGCACACAGACTGTTTACTCGAGTCCGTTCAGGGATCTGACATGTACCTCTTTGGGATGAGGCTGCTCTTGGCGCTGGGGAAATAACTGTCACTGAAGGAACGCGGGGCTGATTTGAACTGAGACGCAGCTCGCCACAGCTCCACGGATTTCTCCAGATCAGGAATAATATCCGGCACCACTACCTGCTCAGCCAAAAACACCACAGTCTCCACCACCATGAGCAGGAACCAGCCCAGGGCCCCGATCCAGTACGAAGAGCCCAGGGCAGAGAAGTTCTCACGGATCTCGTCTCGATGGTGGAAGGTGAACAATGACCAGGAGAAAAGGAAGAAGAAACCTGAAACAAAGGAATACTTTGTTCAATACACATATACCTCTGTGATAGGATTTTACATTGTTTAAAAGTGTACTTGTATATGGTTTTCTTGTACAGGTACACTAAATAACTTTTCTGGTGGGAGGAATGCCACCTGATTGTCTCCATGAAAATGTTATTGCCTTTTCTGGAATGTTCTGGCATAGCGTGATCTAGAACAGACATGTCAAACTCAGGCCCAGGTCCAAATTTGGCACCTGATATAATTTGATTTAGCCCGCAAGATCATATCAAACAAATTAAAAATGTATTAGAGCTGGCTCGCCGGCTACAGGTGAAATTTTGTTTTTATTTCATATTATGCTTGTTCTAGATTCATTGTTTAAGCAAAACTATGATTAAACATTTATTTTAATAGGAAAAAGTTTAACATTACATATCTTGAAAGAAGAGAAAACATGCAGATGTTGTTATAAATATTTAGTTTGGCTCACGATTTAGTCCCAGTTTTAAATTTTGGCCCTCTGTGAATTTGAGTTTGACATCCCTGATCTAGTATTTATTTGGGTGTTTATATTGGAAAAAAAAATCCTAATTCTGACCATGTTTATCCATGTTTATCGCCAAAACATATCCATGGAGACAAGCAGTGCACCTTTAATGATCATTTCTCAAAATAATTTCTTTAATCCTAAAACCTATAGACATTATAACCATCCATGCAAAATGAATGTGTGGAGACGCCCAAACTGAATAATAAATCATATTGCTGTTAATACTGCATAGGGATATAATCATATTCAAATCTCTCTATAGTATTTTGACGTTATAAATCCCACGGTGCGATATTTTATAGACGCTAAGAAAATTGTGAAAATGCAACATTTTCCTGTGAAAATGCCTGGACAAGACTTTTGTTCTGTCATAAACCAAAGTATTAAGATTTAAATGTGCTTAAAAATTATGATGATTATTATTATTTGTATTACTTTTTATGTAGTCTGCACTGTAATGGAGCAAAGGATCATGGTATATGTAGTTCACTCAGTTTTGTTTAGCTATTGCGGCACCAACACAATGAATTTAAGCAAAGAGACTTGTAATCTGATATACTGTGAGACTTTTAACGATATTTCAGTTATTGTTACATCCCTAATATTGCATATATGGTAGTTAAATATTTTTTTCTCTTTTTATTTCCTTTTGCAGAAAACCATGTCTCTTTCAGTCTTGTACCATCCCGTGTGTTTCCAGTGCTGTACAAACCTGTGCAGATCATGGTGAGCAGCAGCAGAGTGGTCGGGTACAGAGCCTGGCCTGCCATCAGCAGAGAGCGAGTGTTGGAGTAAGAGCGCACTGTCTGTGATGTCCAGCAGAGGGCGAACACCAGGCATAGGGCTGAAGTGCACACAGCCATCAGGAAGGACAGCACAGCGAAGACCCTCTCTGCTTCTAAGGCTGCAACACAACAAGAGACAGAAGGTTTGGTGAAGGTGTCTTTTTAACTTGAACAAACATAATAAATGAAAAGGGGAAAAAACATTAGAGAATAAAATAAGAATAATTGTTATCATTCCTTGAGTTTCACTTCTTCTATATTGTGCACACAGACCACAGAAAAAAAGCCTCCACCAACAGGAAAAGTGTTTTACATAGACAGATTTGACCTCAGGATAACAATGCAAATGTAGTGTGTGTGTGTGTGTGTGTGTGATTGTGTTATCAGGGCTCGGCACGTTTACAATGACCCAGCGGACACATTAATAATTCACATTCCAGTAATTTTCAAATCTACATTAGCATTTAATAGATACATAGTTTAACCAATTCACAATAAAGACCATCAGTAGGTAAGTAAGTCAGTCAGTCAGTCAGTTAGTTAATTAGTTAGTTAGTAAGTTAGTTAGTTACTTAGTAAGCAATTTACTTAGTTACTTAGTTAGTTAGTTACTAAGTAAGTTTGTAAGTAAGTAAGTAGTTACTTACTTACTTAGTAAGTTAGTTAGTTAGTTAGTTAGCAAGTAGTGAGTCTTTCTTTATATAGCGCCTTTCACAGATTAAAAAAATAAAAAACTCACAAAGTGCTTTACAGAGCAATACACAATATAAAGAAGAACAGAGGAATTACAGACACAGTCAACTAAAAGCTGATCTAAAGCGCAGTGTCTTGAGCTGCTTTTTAAAAGAGTCATTCCATAATTTGGGAGCCACAGCCTGAAAACACACGTCACCCCAAGTTTTTCCCGAGTTCGTATCTTTGGGACCATCAAGAGACCCTGACCTGAGGACCAGCAGGTGCGACCTGAGGAGTAGGGGCGCAGTAAGTCACTGATGTACTGGGGCACCTGTCCATTTAAAGCTTTGTAAGTTAAAACCAAGATTATAAAATCAACACGGAACTTAATAGGAAGCCAGTGCAGTGAAGATAAAACTGGTGTCATGCGTGTTCGCCTGTTCACTCCTGTTGAAAAACCTTGCAGCCGGATTTCGTACAAGTTGCAGCCGCTTAAGTGTAGAAGCATTAAAACAAGTAAAAAGAGAATTACAAAAATTGAAATGAGATGAAATAAAAGAGTATTGCTTATTCTGAGTGAGAAAGACAAACAGCTAGAACCTGTTGAAAATCCTAATTACTTTACAACTGATCTGGTGTTTACTGCACGCACGTGATTCATTTGGTCAGCAGAAGTTTACAGGTCGTGTCCTTAACTCTCTAGTGTGGAGCCTGCATACAATATTTAGTAGCGTGTGTGTAAATAACAGCAGAACTCTACTTAGTAAATGTGATAATAATGTTACTAAGTGAAAAGGGGGTGGGGGAATAACAGCCTTACAAATAATTTATGGTACCATTTACAATAACTACACTTACAGTGGCCTTAAAAAAAAGGTCAAAGCTCAAAGACTTAATTTGTAACTGATTTACTTTATTAAGAATGATGCAGGCTTAGTAATAGTGCTGTTAAAGGGTTAGGAGTTAGGATATTAATGAAGTAGTTACAAAGCTTAAATCATTCTTAATAAACTATTTGTCATCATGGATTAAGTAATTGATCATTCCATATTAAGGGTAATTAAAGTGTAGTTTTTACATACTTACTTTACATAATTACTTGTGTGAATGTCTGTATCTTAGACTGTATTTATGGACAAAATGAAAAAAAAGTAGATAAAAGTAGCAGATTCCCAACATGAAAAGTTATGCTGTGAACCTTTAAGTAAAAGTAGAGATACAGGAGCAAAGAAATACTCAAGTAAAAGTAAAAGTATTACAGAATCTATTATTAAAGTACGTGTTTAAAAATGTACTTAAAGAGTAAAAAGTTAAAGTATTTTGCGCCAATTTTGAGATCTAGTAAAGCTTCAAATATAGTGATTTTGATACAGTTTTCTGCTGAATTTTTTGTTCAGTAGAAATGATTGATTTGACTTTTTTTTCTTGCTGTTTTTATTTGTATATTTTTGTACAAACATGTTGAAAATAAACTCTTAGCCTTTTCAGCAAGTCTCATGCACTCAATAAAAAAAAACAACAAAAAAAAAAACCTTTTACTTTCCAGTCCTGTTTAAAAATGTAGTGGAGTAGAAAAGTATAGATACTCTCAAAGTAATAGAGAAAAAGTAAATAGTATCCACTTTAAAATGTACTCAAGTAAAGTACAGATACCTCAGATTTATACTCACAGTATGGTGACAAAACAGTGACTTTTTTGCTCCTCTTTCTGTCTTTTATTAAGCTTCTGCTCAAAGAATGTGACAGCAGCAGGCTTAAACTTGTTAAACCTGCAGAAAAAACCTCCTGTGCAACCCACCTGAGCTCCTGAGAAGAATTCAACCCAAAAGTCTGTATGAAAACTGATCTGCTCTGAGCTTTGGTTGCAAAACAAACTGACTCATGTTCATTTTAGCTTTAGGGCAATTTTTAATTTCAGATTTCGTTTAGTTTATAACAAGCAGTTTTTGTTTTCTGTCCCTTCACATAAAGTAACACATCAGTGCGCCCAAGTGTCCCATGTTCTTAAAGTAACACGACCCTGTTATTACATAGCGACAATGAAATAATAAAATTTAAATATTAGCAGTAAAATACGTATTTAAATCAAATGAAATGGTCTTTTTAGCCATTTAAATGAAATATGGAATTTGTCTAATGAACTTTATAACAGAAATGTATTTGAACTACACTCTGACTGACCTCACTCCTTTCGCAAACAGACGCCTCATGCATGACTAAATATCATTCTTTGTTTGTGCTGGAAGGTGATAAAGTAAAAGTAGTAAAGTACTGTACTGTAAGTATAAGTCTGAAGTATCTGTGCTTTACATGAGTACATTTTAAAGTGGATACAATTTACTTTTACTCTACTACTTTGAGAGCATCTGTACTTTCAACTCCACTACATTTTTAAACAGGACTGAAAAGTAAAAGTGTTTTTTATTGAGTCTGTGAGACTTGCTGAAAAAGCAGAGAGTTTATTTTCAACAGATTTGTACAGAAATATACAAACAAAAAAATCTGTCAAATCAATCGTTTCTATTGAACAAAATTCAGCAGAAAACTGTATCAAAATCACTATATTTGAAGCTTTATTAGATCTCAAAATCTGCACAAAATACTTTCACTTTTTACCCTTTAAGTACATTTTTAAACACCTACTTTAATGACAGAGTTTGTAATACTAAAACATTCACTTGAGCATTTCTTTGTATCTGTATCTGTACATTTACTTAAAGCTACACTGTGTAACTTTTCAGGTTACGAGTTGGGACTGTGGAGATATTATTATTACTTCTAATTGCTATTACTTTGTCTGTAATGTTCCGCAATAGGGTATTAAACTTAAAGTGTATAAGATTTACTCAATCATGGGTGTTTTTATTGCTCAAAAACACCTTCAAAAACGGAATTCTCACTGTGAGTGGGGTCGCCTCTTCACAGATCTCACCTGTAAATTGTCCTGGTGGTGTCTCCTGCTTGTTTCTATGGAAATTGAAACGTTTAAAGCCATACTTCGGAATATAAGAGGTAAAGCTGGTGAGCCCTCTACCAGAAAAGTGGCACAGTGCAGCTTTAAGTAGCATAATTGAGTACTTCTTTCACCGCTGCTCTTTGCTTTGAACAGTTTCTGCCTCGTGCTCATTTCCCTGCCAAAACTGTCAACGCCAGGACCCGAGTGGAACAAAATGGACTTGATAAGAGGTGAGAGAGCGCGCGCCCACTTACCATCGAACACGGTGCCATCTCCGCTACTCATCAGCTCAGGTTTGGTGCCGTTCCCTTCCTCTGTCCACAGTCCCTGGTCGTCCAGCCAGAACGGGGTCCAAATGGCATAGGAGACGCACAGGCAGCCCGCCAGCCCCACACACGCCTGGGCGAATCGGAAGCGGCTCATGGAGTTATCGAGCTCCAACAACTTCATTTTAACCTTAAATTGTAACAGAAAAAAGTGAATATTGGAGGAAATGCCATGTTGTTAAAGCTGTACTATGTAACTTTTAGTTGAGGATAGGTCATTGCTCTACCTGGAATGTTCAAAAGTATGACGTTAAACAGCTCTACCTTACGTTTATTCAATTACAAGTGGTTTTAAAGCTCAAAAATACATGAAAAAAACATGGATTCTGACTCAGTGTTTGCCTCTCCACAGATCTGACCTCTAACTTTATCTGGTTTGGTCTCCATGAAGCAATAACAACACAAAAAACAATAACATCCCCATTCAGAAAAGCATTTGACAGACCCTCCACCGGAAAAGTTCCACAGTGCACCTTTAATAAGAAAAGATAAACACACTTACCTCTTCACAGCCCGAGATTTCAAAACAACTGCAGTTCTGACACAGATCCTGCCTTGTCTCCTGCGCGTGCTGTCTCTCTGTAATCTGTGAGCCTTTAGACAAGGCGGCGTTCTTCAGCCTCTCTTTAAACTCCGCCCACGTGATACCGATGGAACTTCCCCTCGTCGTCACCTAAATTTCCTGAAGAGGTCTCCACTGTAGCCCACACACTGTAATGAAAGTAAAACAGGCACAAGCGGCTAAAACAACACAGAGGTTTTGATTATAACAAAGAAAGCTCAGTTACAGACCATGTAGTGTAAGAAAAAACAAGGAAATACTGTAAGTTATGTAATATGAAGCTTTAAATAATACATGTCAGAACTGCGGCTAAGTCAGGTTTTAACATGTAGTAAAACAGGTCTAAACCAGGTCTGTCAAGACATGTTGAGTCTGACATGTAACTCAGATTATTGGAATCCACCGCTGAAATAAGGAACTAAAAATGTAACACGTATGAATGAATTTAAAGTAGTAGTAAAAACTTAAACCAACAAATGTCTCATATCATTCTCTGCATTTTATTTTACAATAGAAAAAAAAAAAATAACTTATCTGGTTTGTTGTTAACCTATTTTCTTATTATCTGTCATAATTTCAAATCTGTTTTTCATTTCTTACACTGTTCTGTTCACGCTAAAAATGTAAAATTTATGAATTTGAAATAACAATAAAAGCTTAAACCAACAAATGTATGATCAATCTTTGCATTTAGTTTTAAATAAATAAAAAAACATATCTGGTTTATTGTTAACCTATTTTCTTATTATATATTACATACTTTCTTATATTATCTGTCATGATTTCAAAACAGTTTTTTCCTCGTTTATCATTTCTTACATTGTTCTTGTTCATACTAAAAATATAAAACTTATGAATTTGAAATAACAATAAAAGCTTAAATGAACAAATGTATTATCACTCTTTGCATTTCATTTTAACACAGTAAAAAAATCATACTGTATGTGGTTTGTTGTTATCTATCATCATTTCAAAACTGTTTATCATTTCCTACACTGTCCTGTTCATACTAAAAATGTAAAACTTATGAATCTGAAATAACAATAAAAGCTTAAACCAATAAATGTATTATCATTCTTTGCATTTCATTTTAAATCAATAAAAAACATCTGGTTTGTTAACCTATTTTCTTACCATCTGTCATAATTCAAAAGTTGTTTTTTTTCCTTGTTGATCATTTCCTACACTGTCCTGTCCACACTAAAAATGTAAAACTTTGAAATACCAATAAAAGTTTAACGAACAAGAGTATTATCATTCTTTTCATTTCATTTTAAAACAACAGAAAATCATACTGTATGTGGTTTGTTGTTAACCTATTTTCTTATTATCTGTCATCATTTCAAAACTGTTTTTAATTTCCTACACTGTCCTGTTCACAGTAAAAATGTAAAACTTATGAATCTGAAATAACGATAAAAGCTTAAAGCAACAAATGTATGATCAATCTCTGTATTGTTTTAAAACAATAAAAAAATCATACTGTACCTGGTTTCTTGTTAACCTATATTTTCTTAAAAACTGTCTTTTTTAAGTCAAAACCAAGATTGTTTTTGTTTTTTTCTAATTTTTTCCTCATTTGTTCATCTGTCCTGTTCACACTTGCTCTTCACAGCCCATATAATCTATGATCATTTTTGTAGACATTACATCATCCTGGATTTTAATTAGTCTGAGCAGATGAAGATTCATAAATAGGCCTGTCACGATAACAAGTTCTGAAACACAATGTACTGCTACAGAGATATACTGAGATAAACAATAATACTGAAACTACTTTATGCCACTGATGGAAAAACAATAAGGCAGTGAACCATTCTAAAATAAAGTGTATCATTAAAAGACATGAGCTGCAGCAAATAAATAGCAGAATGAAGCAATAATCACCCAAAAACTTTACTTTTTCAACCATCTGTAGCACAAATCGTCATATTATAACAAAAATTAAAAACAAATCCCACCTATATGGTAAAAACTTACACCCATGACAAAGTTCCAGCGATAAGTTGATATAGTGATTATCGTGACGGGCCTATTCACAACAGAAACACGCTTCTAAATTTGGATCTGAGCCGAGCAACCCACTTTCACTACAAGTAGGGGAAGTATTTTGATTTGAGGGGGGAACACTTGGACTTATATGGTGTTTGTGGCCGGGTTTGTCACAGATTTCCCCACGTCATGTAAAATAACACCACCTTCACTTTCCTTTTGAGTCATGGAACAAGCCCACTGTACCGAAATGCACCATGCCCTTATTTGCACTCTCTGAACGGTGCAGTGCGTTTTCTGGTGGAGGGTCTGCTGCCTACTTGTCTCCATGGAGATGTTATTGCTTTGTCTGAAATATTCCATGGTATGACATTAAAAATACATCTAGCATTTATTCATTACAGGTTTCTATTGCTCAAAAATACACAAATTCTGACTTGTAAAGTGCTGTAAACTGCTTGTCAATTTAATCTGTACTGTGGAACATTCTAGACAAAGCACTAACATTTCCATGGAGACAAGCAGGTGGCAGATCCTCCATTGTTACGCAGTGAACCTTTAATCTTTGTACACAAAACCACACAACTCCTCTCATGAATGCGACTGTATTTTGAGATTTCATGGACAAAACAAATCCGAGGAACAAAATGCAAAACGATAAAGTGCGTCATGGCACAAGGCGTATGATACAAAATAGTTTTAATACAATTTTGGTCAAGTTTTTCCATTTGGTAATGTTAGCACTTGAAGGTAGGGCAGCACAATATAAAACACATTTCACTGGTTAATTTAATTTAAAAAAAGCAGTGTGGACAAGGTAAACAAATGTAATAAGAATAATAAAATCCATTGTCTTCTGTAAATCTGAAAAATAAACAAAAACTTCTAGGGCAGTTTCAGTTTCCACCAATATAATTTCAAGTCTTTACAACAAAAGTAGAGATTTTTTCATAGCTGATGTCGACCAATACGGTTTAAAATCCAGAGAAATGGCCGATATTTTAGGGTCGATATAGGGTGCCGATTTTGAGTTTCCTTAAATTCTGTACTTTAAATTTACTACAAACTCACCCTCAACACTCTTTTTTTTAACCACAGACCTATCGGCAAGAGCTTTAAAGGTGCAATATGTAACTTTTTGGTTGGGGGGCTGTCACCTGCTTGTTTCTATGGATATATCATTTTATCATGCTTGGGATGTCCCACAGTATGGCTTTAAACAACTCTGCTTTACATTTATTCAATTACAGGTGGTTTTATAGCTCAAAAATACCTATAAAAACAGGCATTCTGACTGTGAGCGGGGTTTCCTCTCCATAGATCTGACCTGTAACCTGGTTTAGTTTGAGCTCCATGAAGATAGAAAGGTTTAATGCCACACTGTGAAATATTCCAGACTCGAGCTGAGTATCATTAAGAAGTAGGCGATACGATACATACCTCGATACAGTGCACTTTCGGCTCGATACGAAATATTTCAAATCAATTCGATGCAGTTCAATAAAAAATAAAGGCTAAATCTTGGCAGTGACACTAACATTTTTGTTAAACGACTTCCTTTGCAAAGTTAATATGAAACACACCCATTTTAATCATCAAAACAGTGAAAATGTCAAATGTGTTGCATAAATGAGTTTCCTTCCTCTAAACAAGCAACAAAACTGTAGCTGGAACAAAATAATTTAGTCAAATATACCAAAAATACTCTTGGCGATATATTGATACAGCAGTGCCCAATATCGATTCTGTATCATCACATTAAACGATACAATATAGACATTTTGATTCCACCATCTGAAGGAAACTTCACTAGAAAAGTTACACAATGCACCTTTAAGACCAAAATGGTAAAAAGTCCAAATATCGGCCAATAGACAAACAAAAGTATCAAATTTACATACAGTATTTTGTCAGGATATGTGATAAAACATGTGTTATTGTGACTATTGAGATTGTCTAATTGTTATTTAATTCAAAGTGCAAAAACATGAAATACCTGCCAACAGCCATAAAAGTAGATTTTTCTTATATAGTGCCGCCCTACTTGTGAATAAAACGGAAATCCTTCTCTTTAAAAAGTATAATAGCAAGGTCATCTGACAGTTCGCTTTTGAAAATCCCACATTAAAGCAGCCCGTCTTGCCTCATTATCTACTTATGTCACTTTATATCTCTCTTTCCGCCTTTGGTTATTCTTCCTCCTCTTCACTTCACCACGCGATCAGAACTGACCTCGTGTCAAGAGTCTTTTCAGAGTAAACAACAGCAAACTTAAAGGTGGACTGAGTTCTTCATGGAGATGTTATTGCTTTGTCTAGAATGTTTCACAGTGTGGTATTAAACCTTTTTAACTTCATGGAGACCAGACCGAGTTACAGGTCAGATCTGTGGAGAGGCGACCCCGCTCACATTCAAACGCCTGTTTTTCTAGATATTTTTGAGCTATAAAACACCCTGTAATTGAATAAATGTAAAACAAAGCTGTTTACAGTTGACCCTCGCTGTATCGCGGTTCACCTTTCGCCATCTCGCTGTTTCACAGATTTTTTTGTGTGCAATTTTTAGAGTATGGACGCAAATTATGTTCCACCCCTCCATCCGTGCTTTGAGTGCCTTGAAGGTGGAAAAGCGCTATAGAAAAATGTGACCATTTACCATTTACCCTCTACGTCCTGATTGATTGACAATGGTCTACAATCCCTCAGCCAATCTCCTCCGAGCCATGTCTCCCGTACAGTACAGAATGCATTCAATTTGCCAAATTTAAATAAATGTTCGATCTCTTGCAGTGTGATTCTGAAGTCCTGTATGTTTGCAAGTTTTCTCCCCAACAAAACCCACAATGTCGATGAAACGTTCTGCACCGACAAATGCTCCTGCGGTCGCACGCAAAAGACAGAGGAAGATGTAACCATTGCACAAAAAGTTGGACTTCTGGACACGATGAAAGAAGGGAGAAGTTATGCGGCTGTAGCAGAGTCCTGCACCAGGTCGGGTACGGGCAAATAGTCGCTGAAACGGGCGGGTTTTAACGTTCTGGAATTTTACGAGCCGGTATGCATGCGGGTAGTAATTACACATGGACAGGTCGGGACTAAACCAGGACTACACCAGAACTAAACCAGGACTACACCCGAACTAAACCAGGACTAAACCAGGTCTAAACCAGGACTAATCTTGGACTTAAGAGAAAGAACACTGAAGCAGGGTGTCCGCAAAGCGCAATCGGGCAATGGCTGCGTTTACCTACGTGAGGTTTGGAGCTGAACCAGTTTCTCCTGCGGTCACCTCCAAGCCCGTCCCGACAGTGAGTCCTGTTCTGCTTCAGTCCTGGTTTAGTCCTCCTCTTCAGTCCTGGAATCAGTTCTAGGTTAGTCCTGGGTTAGTCCTGGGTTAGTCTTGGTTCAGTCCGTGGCATAGGCAGCGCAAAAGCTTGATATAATCTCGGGTTAATTGGCGGGTGTGGTGCTGTACTGCATGGGTGCGGGTCTCCAAAAATGGACTTGTGCAGGACTCTGCGCTGTAGGGCTCCATTACAGAATAAATGAATCTTCGGTTTGTTACATAAAGGACGAAAATAACAAAAGGACGACTGCAGCAATAAGTTTTAAGAAGGATTCAAAAAGTGTTGTAAGTGTCCTGTCTGAGAAAAGTGTATAAATTGTGTGGTGAGGAGTTTTACAGCCTTAAAACTGATATAATAATTGTAAAATATAGTTGACTACTTCGCGGATTTCACCTATCACGGGTTATTTTTAGAACGTAACGCTGCGATAAACAAGGGACCACTGTACTGTCATACTGTTAAACATTTTAGACAGATCAATGACATCTCCATGGAGAAAAGCAAATGACAAAGCCTTCACAAGAAAAGTTACCTAGTGCAGCTTTAAGAGACATTCTGATTTAAAAAAAAAAAAGTAAATCCTCTTCTTTTTAGCTTACTTCCTGGCTCTTTGTAGCAGTGCCTGAAATCCATCAAGAATCTCCGGGTCGTCCCCAGCTGTAAGTTCTGGCGTGTTTTTCTGTAGCCAATCAGAAGCCTTCATTTGATTCCGCAGTGTACCAATGAGATCGTCCAGTCTGTCGCTGGCCAAAGGCGTCCCGTTCTCTCTCAAAGCGTCTGGTGATTTGCATCGGGGAGATGGTAGAGAATTTACAAATGCAGAATTGTTGGAATCGCCGTTATCTGTTTTGCCTAATTTTCCATGTTCCTCAATGGGCCTTTTGATGGAGCTGGAACCGGGGCAAGCTTGTGTCTCTTCGATTTCTTTCAACGCGTCTTTAAATCGCCTCAAGCCTGAAAAGCAGCACAAATGAGTGACTATTATCCCGATCTATAAGCAGTTTAAAAAGAAAATTGATGTTGTCTGAAGTTTAACAAAGTGTAATTGTGTTTAAATTGGAAAATGGGGCATAGATGTGCAAATAATCAGTGTTTTGAAGTTAAATCTGACAAGACTGGGAGAAGGACACATGGCACATTAAACACTGACCGAGCTCTAGGTGGCGCTGTTGGTCTGCAAACACAATGCGGAACCATCCGGGCGTGGAGCAGGAGAAGGCCTGGCCACAGCTCAGCACCACTTTGTGTCTGAGGAAGCATCTCCATAAAGAAAACTCATCCTCAAATGTGAACTCTCTCAGGTACTGCAAGAAATAAACCGATGAATATAGTAAGTGTCCTAGTAGGGATGTAACAATAACTGAAATATTGTGATATCGTATCGTTTCACAATAATATCGTGGGCTGTCACAAGATTTCGAATCACAAGTTCCTTTGCTTAACTGCATGCTTTTATCGTAGCAACAGCTTATAAACATAGGGAACTACATATCCCATAATTCATTTCACTGCATACAACATCAAGAAATATGATTTTACATGGATTCTTGTGATTTTGATGCTACTAATTCACACCAAAATCTTGTTAAGATATTTTAAAAGCAAAAAAGTGTCCCATCTACAATTATATTAGCCTCTTCAAAAATATCGAAATAAATATCGTACTGTGAGATGCATATCATTATAATATTGTACCATGAAATTTGGATATCATCCCTATGTCCTAATATAATATTTGAATATCTATATTTTTTTAATTGACTCATTTAGAGCAGTGGTTCTCTTTGGTTCTTTTCACACCAAGTACCACCTGATGAAAGTATTTGACCCACCTAGTGCCACCAGGTCTATAACAGGACTATACCAGGTCTAAACTAGGGCAGAAATTCTTAGAATGCTTGAATTTCTATTTTTACAAAGCTGTTCTGTAATTACTGTAAAGCTAAATAACAGCTCCATATCACAGCTGGACCTCACACCCATCACACCTTATTTTATTTTGGTTCTGAGGAAGTAAACCGACACAGACAATTGAAGCTATATTACTGGAATTGGTATCGAAGCTGAAAAAGCTGAATTAGTCCATCTCTAGTTACTAGGTATGTAACGATACCCAGATCTCTCAGTACGATATTTTCAGGATATGCATCTCACGGTTAGCCTGATTCATCAGCCGGTTTCCAAGAATTCGTTCACTCGACAGTAGGCGGGTAATTTTTTTTCATTTAACCAATCGCTGCTATTTGGTCATTATGTATGTAATGCGCCGCTAAAGGGACTAACTGGTATATTAAACCTTTCCCAAATCCCACATGAAGAAGGGCAATAACGTCTTTCTCCTTGATAAAATTCACCAAACATTCTCTTTATTCTGGCTTTAAATCCTCGAATCATTGCCAACACAGAATATATGGCTCTTCACAAAAACCCCGGAAGTGCACGTTCATGCACCAGCCAATCAGCGAACCGTCTAGTGTATTCCAATTCCTGACCTAGTTGCTGGAGAGGAATGAAATTGAGCAGAGGCACTAGGTGGCGCCAGCCTGACTATCTCACGGTACAATATTTATTACAATATTTTGAGAGGGTTAACAAAAGAGTGAATAAACTTTTTCTTTTTTAAATGCCTTAACAAGACTTTGGTTCTATCATCATCCAAAGAACTAAAACTTATTAACACTATTTCCTCATGTGGTCTGCACTTAAACTTTTTTTTAAACTATTGCTGCACCATAACATTGAATTTAAGCAAAGGGACTTGTAATTTGATATATTGTGATGGCTCATGATATTATTGTGACACTTTTGACCATATGATATTGTGATATTTCGGTTATTGTTCCACTTCTACGAGTTGCAGCAGTTCCAAACTAACTAAAAACGTGAGCCAAAATTAAAGGTTGTATGGAGGATTTTTTTTTTTTTCAAATTGTCAATGATAGCATTATAGAGGTGCAGTAGCCTTGTAATTATGATGACCAAGAAAAAGAGAATAAAAATTCATCAACTCTGGACGTGGTGGGGCTAAACATTTGCCAATAGATAACGACACTGCCTCGTTATCTGTTAGTTGACAGGCTGTCAATCAAACTCCCTACGTTTCTAGCGTAACTGACTTGCCTGCGCGCTGCCATTACGTGGTTTACGTACGACTGTCACGCAGTCCACAGATGCAAGACGCACAGACGCTGTTTACTCCACCAACGCAACAGTTCTTAGCGGCTTTTTTGACCTATATCTTCCTCGCAGTTAGCACAAAGTTTGTTGCAATGGCAGAAAAGAATTCAGGAGCAGTTAGCCCCAAAAGAAAGTCCGTTTTTGAGGTTGCTGAAAGAAGAAGACAAGGGGAAAAGCAGCAAAGCCAAACTAAGGTGATTCTTGGAGATTCATTCCAGCGATGGCGCAACTGAAGCAGACGCAGGGTCTAAAGACTGACGCACTGGTCGCCAAATTACTCCTGGACAGGTCACTTCTGCTTATTATGAAAACGTGCTTTATTTCCAAGAGCTAGACAAACGTTTTTCAAGACACAAATGCGATATCCTATGTCTGAAAACGTAATTTTCAATGCAAAGAAAGAATCCGCTTGCAGCTGCGTGTTGTAGTAGTAGCTTCATTCGCACTGAATCTCCGCGCACCCCTCTCTGCACCCCTTCCTGCTCCTCTCCCCGCTCCCCGTTTTGCTCTTCTCCCTGCTCATCACTTCTCCGCGCACGGAATCTCCGCGCACCGCTCCCCTCTCCTCTCCTCGCTCCCCGCCCCGCTCTTCCCGCTGCTCCTCACTCCTCCTCACTCCTCACAAATGTCCGCGCACCCCCTCCCCCCCCGCTCCTCACTTCTCCGCCTTGCCTAACCAACACTGTAGTTAGTTGTTTAGAAGTCATGTGCAGCGATGAGTACTTGTTTTCTAGAAACAAACCTGTTTCTGGTGTAAGGAGGAGGCATTTCTACGTAGGGAGCTGAAGGGGAGGGGGGGTGGTTTCACGCATGCGCAACATTTGAAAAAGGACAAACTTGTTCCAAGGAACGAAAATCCTCTATACAACCTTTAAGGAAGCGTTAGAAATGCAGAGGAATCATTATACCACTAGAGGGAGCCCCACAGTTTGGATACTACTGATTTTGAGAAATATACACTCTCCAAACTACTTCCAGTTACTTCCTGTAACTGTAATGGGCCTTACCTTCCTGAGGTCGGCCCACACAAACAAAGCTGCAGGTCTGTCCAAGAACGGAATTCCTAAACTTCTCAGCTCCTTTGTCAACACACTGTGAGAGCTCTTCAGCCTGCTTCTGTTTTCAGGCAGGAATTCATTGTTGATCCATTCTAGACAAGTAACAAAATGTGAAGAGTTATATTACAGCTGACGTTATCAATACCAATATCCGTAGGCTCTGCTCTGTCTGGGGATTTATTAGTCTTTCTTGTTCTGTAAAGCGCTTTGAAATATTTTGTGTACGAATTGTGCTTTACAAATGAACTTGCCTTGCCTTGCCTTTAATCTGTGCTTTATGCAAACACAATATGACGATAAAGAACTGACTTAGCTGGAAATACAACAGGATCTGCGCTGTTAAACAAGTCTCTCACACATGAAATTACAAAGAGCAAACATATAAATAATAATATATTCTAAATAAGTAGCAAAAACAGCAAGAGACTGGTGTCAAATAAGGCATAATATCAATGTATGTGTACAAGTAAAGTAAATATCGTAAGTACTTGCCTCTGTCCTGCAGCAGCTGTGCGACCTGGTGCTGTGTTGGTCCAGGGATCCCATGGAAAGAGCCGAGTTGAGCCAAAGCTTCCACCAGCTCTGAGTTCTCCGTGTACAGAGTCCCAATACGGATGCCTGCCATAGCAAAGTCCTGGAAGAGACAAGAATGTAGTTTATGAGGTGACAAAATGCCACACCACCATCACCACACCATAGGAATACAGCATGATAATACAGCATGATAATACAGCATGATAATACATGATAATACAGTACGATACTACTACTACTACTACTACTACTACTACTACTACTACTACTACTAAAATCTGTACACAAAAAAGAACAAAAATCGTTTTTAGGGTTAATCATTTTAAGGCTGTAGTTTATATAAGATTATACGAGATTTATGTCTAACTCTCACCCCAAAACAAGTAATTTTAAAGAGCCTATATTCTACACTGTTTATTTTCTGATCTTTATGTTGTTTCCTCATCACAAACATACCTGGAGTTGTGTTTTGTTTCATTCACACATGTTTAAACATACAAATCCTGCATATTTAGGCTGAGTTGTTCTCTCAAACAGAAAATACTCTGTTCCATACAGGAGGTGCTCTACTGTGTTTTTATACACCAAACACCTTCACTAGAATCATTTGGATAATTTCAGCCCTCAAATTGTCTCTACAGAACGAAAGGGAAATGGTAGATTGTTTAACTTGAAAACTACCACTACATGACATCAAAAGGTAAAATAGGACATTTTGAGCTGTGGAGATGTGGACAAACTAATAATAAATGGTTATTCAAACATGTGTGAATGAAATAAAACACAACCCAGGTCTGTTTGTGATGAAGTAACAACATTATAACATGGCTTAAAGCTCACAAGAGTCAATTTTGTGTAATATAAGACCTTCAAGGTACACTTTATTGTCCCCATAGGAAAATTTGTCATCAGCATTTGACACTGCCAGACTGCAGCAACCTGTTGGGAGCAGCAGGCGCCCAGGGACACATCTGGAGATATTGAGATAGGCTTGACTGTAACTTCCACAGCAAGGATAATATGGGATGTTAAATTCTAAACCTGTATTGGGTTTGTGTATGTTAAAAGGTGCATAATGTAACTTTTCAATTCGGGGTCCATCACCTTGTTTTCATGGAGATGTCATTGCTCTGCCTGGAGTGTTCCACAGTATGATATTAAACAGCTCTACCTTCATTTATTAAATTACAGGTGGTTTTATTGATCAAAAATACCTGTGATTGCAGTTACCTCTCCACAGAAATGACCTGTAAGTTGATCTGATTTGGTCAAGAAGATTGAAAGGTTTAATGCCATACTGTGAAACATTCCAGACAAAGCAATAACACCTCCACGGAGAAAAGCATTTGACGGACTCTCCACCAGAAAAGTTACACAATGCACCTTTAACACATGTATAGAGGGTTAGACTTTGTAACACTAGAGTCATGTTCAGTATTGCACAACATTTACCTTACTCATCCCCCACATCACATGAGTCCTCTGAGGGTCGGGCAAACTGCAATAATAAAAACAAGAATGGTTATGAATGTATTTAAACTTCCTTTATTACGCAATATAACTGAGCCGAGTTATAATGCTGTTCCCTCATCAAAGACATGCCTGGAGTTGTGTTTTGTTTCATTCACACATGTTTGAGTAATCCTTTATTGTTATTAGTCTGTGTACATCTCCAAAGCTAAAAAAAAAAAACCTCTGTTCCAACTTGTGATGTCAGGAAGCAGTAGTTTTCAATTTAATACCTATTTTTAACCTTAATTATCCAAATGATTCTAGATTCCAAAGTTTGTGTGTTAATTAAACATGCGTGAATGAAACAAAACACTAGTCCAGGTTTGTGATGAGGAAACAACATTATAACATAGATCAGAAAACAGCATAATATGTGACCTTTAAATGCTGCGTTAATCTTAAACTTCTACTTTACCTTTCTAGATTAAGGACACTTGAAAATACTGCAGATTCGTCAAAGATTGTCAGCATGTACACCTCATCCACAATGACATGGAGTTCATTTCTAGAGGAACATAAAAAGAATAAGACATAAAAAAACAAGTGTTACTTTGCAGTAGAAAGAGATGGTTTAGCTGGAACTACAACAGCTGATCGGATACGTGCTTTCCATCAAGTCTCTCACACATAAAATCCTGTAAAAGTATCAATTAGGAAAATTAAGTGTCAAAGTACACGCTTCGCTATAAAAACACAAATATACTGCAAATTTGAAGGGCATTCAATCTAACCCCAGAATGGACCCTTTGTGCTCACTGTCCGTATAAAAGCCCTGTGCTTTATGGTTACAACAGTTCAGCGCCCACCCAGCTCTCACTAGAGGGAGATCATTTAGTAAACAATGGCTGGTGCAGGACACTTCTTGGCACATGGCTGCACTTAACCATAATAGAGCGGGAGGTGATAAAACTCCATCAGGACCACTTGTTATTCCACACACAGGTCAGAGCACAGGGCCATAAAACAAAGAGTGTAAACGCGATGGATGCTGCGCTATAGACAGTGTTAAAGGGCACTTTGGGCCTGGATGAAACAGATTAAGCTGACAAAATAACGGATATCCAGATACTAATTGAGTACTAAAACTTGTATATACTGTATACTAGATCCTTATCTGAACAAGTCTCACTTTATAATAACTACACTTTTAAGAGTCTTGAGCGTGAGAGCCTAAAGCATGAAGAAAAACTTATTTCACAATGAACAAGTTGTGTGTTAAGAATGATTCAAGTTTGGCAACTACTTAAAAGCAGTGTTTCCCAAACTTTTTTTCTGGGGACTCATATTTTAAAAGTCACAAACCTTCGCAACTCAAGTCAATAGACATTACTCGTAAATCACAAAATAAAGGTGGATTTGACCATATTTTATTGTTGACTGAGTGATCGTGTCTCTCTGAACAAATAGTATTACTCGAGTTTTAAACAATGAAAAACAGTAATTGAACCAGCAACAAAAGTCGCCTATTTGGACATTAAATGTAGCCCATTTCTTTGTCTTTTCAACATTCAATTGAACCAGCAATATTGGAACAAAATAGTCTGTACATCTATATTTTGCCGACCTACATGCAGATCGTGATAAGGCGACCCAAAAAAAATCTCTTGCGACTCAGATTTTGAGAAACAGTGACTTGAAGGGCCTATATTACACTATTTTCTGATTTATGTTATAGTATTTTCTCATCACAAACAGACCAGGAGTTGTGTATTGTTTCATTCACAGATGTCAAAACCACAGATCCTGCATATTCAGTCTGAGTTGTTCTCTCAAACAGAAAACACTCTGTTCCACCTTGTGATGTCATGTGGTAATACAGGAAGTGCTCCACTGTGTTTTTAAATTCCACACACCTTCACTAGAATCATTTTGATGATTTTAGCCCTGGAAATTTCAACCTCTACTCTCTCTGAACTAAAGGTAGAAGGTAGGTTTGGAAATGAAGACAGACTTATAATAAAGGATGTGTGAATGAAACAAAACACAACTTTGATTACGTTTTCGAAAAGGTAACATTATAAAATGGCTTAAAGATCACAAGAGTCAATGTTGCGTAATATAGGACCTTTATTGAGTACCTTAACCCTAACTTCTAACCCAGACTTTTAATGAAATAGACGCTAGGCCTAAATCATTCTTTATAAACGATTTGTTAATTATGAATTAAGTGGTACTGACCTGTCCTGGATAGGTATTGTGGTTTCAAAATAAATACTGATTATTTTGCCTTTACTATAGTATCAAAATTGACACATTTTAATGCCATAACACTAAACAATACCACTAAAACACACAAATATACAGAACTTTACCTTTTGGCAAACTCTAAGAAGGCAGTTATCTCTGTGTGAGTGTAGATCTCAGCCAGAGGATTGTGTGGATTCATCAGGATCACACCTCGGATTGTAATTCCCTGCCAAAGTCAATGAAGGTTAATTAAAGGTATTAATAGAGGTTAAAAGTCAAAAAACAACTTTTTAAAGTAAAGTATTTGCAGAAGTTACTTCTTGTTTTGCTCTCTTCAGTCCTTCCTCCAATTTGTCAACAGTGAGATGGAACGGTCTACAGCCACTTTCATTTTCCTTTAAAGATAAAAACAACATATTAAAGCATGCATATTTTGGCTGTGTTCTTCTCTGAAACTGAAAACACTGTAATTTCCCTGGAATTGCCCATCTCTACTGAAATAAAGTAAAAGTAAAAGGTACTTTTTAACTTGAAAACTACTACTTCATGGCATCACAATGTGGAAGAGAATATTTTGAGCTTTAGAGATGTAGACAGACTGATAATAAAGGATTACTCAAACATGTGTGAATGAAACAAAACACAACTCCAACAACATTATGACATGACTTAAAGTTTACAACAGGCAATTTTCTGTAATATAGGACCTGTAAATCCTGTCTGCTTTATAACATACAAAACATAACTGGTCTCAGTACCTCACAGTCCAAAGGCACGTGAAAGAGTTTAACGCCGGCGTACAGCTCCAGGTCCTCCGTGATCACACCGTAGAATGGAGTGGGGATGAGAATGGCATCTGTCAAAAGCAAACAACTAAATAACTACATAACAGAGGTGGTGCAAAAAGGCTACAATAACACATTTTGAAGTAAGATATATTGCTCCAGAGACACACTACGATAAATTCTGAAATACTGAAACTACTTTATGCAACTGACACAATGTCAATAATGCAAGATAATTCCAGTAAACCATTTTAAATAGACAGTATCATTCAAAAGGTCTGAGTTGTAACAAATGCAGAATGAAGCAATAATTAGCCATAGAAGTCACTTATTCAACCGTTTACAGATCAAATCTGATCATGTTTCAACAAAAATACCCCAATTCTACCCACTTCATGGTTCAAACTCACTCAGTCAAACTTTATTTATAAAGTGCCTTTCATACAAAAATGTAACACAAAGTGCTTTGCAGTGATTAAAAACAAGCCCACATTTCCTTCCACCAACCAACCCAACCTCCACAGCTGTCTGACCCGACACAACCAAACGAAACAGACACACACACACACACACTCACACACTAACATGCTAAAATACATAAAACTACCTATAGTAAGATGTGAGGCTGAATACAGGCGAAGCAGTTGAGTTTTCACTGACAAAATTTCAAAACTAAAACTTTTCCATGACTTTCTCATGACCCAAAGTGAATTTTCCATGACTTTATAGCACCTACATGTGAAGAATTGATCATACTTTTAAGGCTAAATATGAAATGTTAACCCTTTCTACTCACCTTATGGTTTGGTATTATAGTTTTTTAACATTCAACATACTGTCAGTGTATTTATTGTCGTCTCTTAAAACAAAACAAAATAAAAAGTGCATAGGTTGGGAAATAATCATAAAACCCTGAAAGAGATACTAAAATTCCATGACTTTTCCAAAGCTTTCATTGAATTTACAAACTTCTATGACTTTTCAAGACCTGGAAAATGACACTTTCAATTTCCATGACTTTTCCAGGATTTTCATGACCGTGGGAACCCTACCACTTTTACAAAGAAGATCAACACAGGGCCTGTTTTTCTTTTTTTTGGTTATATGTTGACCTATGTTAATGTGGTCAATTGTTCATGTGCACATTTTAGTCTGAAAATGAATAACAATATTTGAAAAAAAAAAAAAAATACAATCTACACACGATAAATACTGAGCCCCCAAATATATTGTTTGAGCTTTCATATATTGAACGCTAAGTCAATCTACTGTAGTACTCCTCATGACGAGCTTAGGTACAAATACTTTTACGTCAATGCGGTGTAGTGCGGTCTACCTTTAGGGTCACAGATCACTGTGGCAACACACGAAAAAAGAGAACCACAGCCGTTCATCACCACCACCTGCACACACAAGTACGTACACATAAGTACAAACACACACACAAAGCCAGTAGGTTTAATATTACATGTTTAAGAGGTAAAGAATAATAATTCACCAAACAATAGGATTAAATTACGGCAACAATAAGTGCCAGCCACATAATTACAGCGTATTTAATCAATGCTTTTAATGCAACCTATAATTCTGCATATACAAAAATGATATATTCTTTACAGCTGCACTCTTAAAATAATAGTTTGTAATAAATGGGGATTTTTATTTAGCCCCCCTGTGACCTTTTATTGGTGTGATCTCATGTGTTATGCTCTTTCCCCCACCTACACGCAGTAGCGATGTGATTCATTTTCTGTGGTTTTTGATGAGGTAACATTATAACATGGCTTCACAAGAGTTAATTTTGCGTAATATAGGACCTTTAAAACTCACATTATCGGCCTTTAGTGGGCGTGGAGAACAGCAATAGTCTGTCAAGAATCGCGCCACCTCCTCCCTCAGACTAAAAACAACAGATAATAATACAAGTTAATTATTCATGTACGTCATTATGAAAGTGAGCACAGATCAGATAATGAAACCTTACAATCGGTGTCCCGTCCAGTCTCCATACTGCAGTGAGGATGGGTTAATAAGCAGCATATCAGGCTTGGTCAGCTGCAAATAAAAATGTATTTATTTACTTGTGCGAGCAATTTATTATTCATATTATTCACTCATTCATTATTGATACATTGATTTTAATAGATTATAATTTCTCTTACGCGCTTAAGCAGGATGTCATAACATAGTTTGTTCTCACTCGTGCCAAGGTTTATGATGCCCTAGGATAGAAAAAACATATTATTATTATTACTATTATTATTAAAAGGCCCATATTACACAAAATTGACTTGTTACACAGAATTGACTCTTGTTAGCTTTAGGCCAGGGGTCAATAAACTAAAGTCCACGGGCTGACTCTGGCCCTCCACGCCCCTTTGACCGGCCCCTCTGACCCCCTCCACTTGAACTGGCCCCATGAGATAATCCTCAAAAGTTGTCATGGCCTTTTTTTTTTTTTATTACTTTTTGGCAAATAATAACACGTCGGCATCTTGTATTTTTTTTAGTTTGTCAATTAAAAAATGATATTTATATGAAGTATTTATATTTATATAATTATATGACGTATTTACTTTTGCTGCTAAATTTCCGTCACCTGACAAACTTGAGATCAAACAGTGACAGTAAACGCACGGGCAGAGTTCTGTAGTGCCGTTAAAGACAGCCAAATGGCTCGTGTTAAAGTATGAAAACTTCTGTTATGTAAAGAAAGTGGAGCGGGTTTTCGAAGAATATAATCTGCGTCGTCAGGGTCATACAGTTCTGTTATACGGCCGACCTGACCCTGGCCTCCATCACAGTCAGGAGCGATAATGTGGCCCCCAGAGAAAAAAGTTTGGTGACCTCTGCTTTAAGTCATGTTATAATGTTGTTATCTCATCAGAAACACACCTAGAGTTGTGTTTTGTTTCCTTCACACATGTTTGAGTAATCTGCATTATTAGTCTGCCTTACATCTCCAAAGCTCAAAACTCTCTGTTCCACCTTGTGATGTCATGTAGTGGTAGTTTTCAAGTTAATAGCTACCCTTTTACAAAACTTTAGGGGGCAGGAGTGCTACTTAGATATACAGAGATTGTGCAGAATTGTCCTTTTGGTGCTCTTCAGTGTGGTGGGCCAGTTTCAAATACAAAGTAGAAAAAAACTGAGGCACTTAGAAAGTACAAAATAATTAAAAGCTAGAGTATAAGTATTAAAAAAGTTTAATACCACATGGCAGACAGACAGTTTGTTCTGATGAAAGTCAAAGGGACGAAACGTGTTGGCATGATTTTAACTTTATCTGCCCTTTGGTATTAAAAGCTTTTATTATTTTGTACTTTTTGAGTGCCTCAGTTTTTTCAACTTCTTCATTTGGTTCAGTAGAGATTGGCAATTCCAGGTCTGAAATGACCAAAATTATTCTAGCGAACGTCTATGGGGTTTAAAAACACAGTGGAGCGCTTCTTGTATTACCACATGACCCCATAATCTGTTTTCTGTTCTGAGAAGATTTCACCCTAAACATGCAGGATTTGTGTGAATGAAACAAAACACAACTCTGGGTATGTTTGTGATGAGGAAACAACATTCCCACTTTTCTGACAAAATTCAAAACTTTTCCATGACTTTTTCATGAGCTAAAGTGAATTTTCCATGACTTTACGGCACCTACATGTGTCGAATTGATCAGACTTTTAGGCCTAAATATGAAATGTTTTCCTTTCCACTCACCTTATAGTTTGGGATTATAGTTTTTTAACATTCAAAATACTGTCAGTGCATTTATTGTCGTCTTTTTTGAATAAAAGGCGCATCCGTTCGTAAATAATCATAATAGCCTAATGAAAACTTAACAAAACGCCATAACTTTTCCAGGATTTCCATGACTGTAGGAATCCTGATTATAACAGATCAGAAAATAGTGTAATATAGGCCCTTTGAACAGCTTCATGTGTATTTTTGTAACTTTTTTGGCGGACTTACATTGGGGTTTTCAGTCTCATGATATTTGTCCATTCCATACTGTAGGAATCCCTCTTGGAGAATTCCCTGGTGCTGGCGGATAGTGTTCCCTCTGTGGGACAAGTACCCGCTCTGTGCTCTGTTACCTACATTCTTTAAACTTTCATGTGGCTTGTCAGACGTCTTTTTACTCTGAGTGTTAGAAACCATCTCCTCTGAACGCAGCTGAGATACAGATGTGCTCGATGTCATCCCTGGATCGTGCGATGACTCCTCTGCGGCCGTCGCTCCTCGCCTGGCCGCCCCCCAGCGTCCCCGTGAGCATGCTAAAGAGGCGGAGCTCGTGCTGCCTCTCGTTCTCCGCCCTCTGCTCCTCCCTCTGCTGCCTCCTCTCCTCCGCCTGCAGCTCCTTCTCCAAACGCGCCTCCTCCAAAGACAACAAGCGCTCCTCTGTTACCTGCTGCCACTTCAGGAAGCTCACCAAGGCTCGGTCCAGGCCTCTGTGGTTTGCGGCGGAGCTCGTTTTGCTGTTTCTGGTTTTAGCGTTCCCCTTTCGCTTCTTGGGCCTCACGCTGGATAAGGTGTAGTAAGGAGCCTCGGTGAAGTGGCGCTCTTCGGACACGGAGCCTTCCCGGGTGCCTGTGGCCGAGCACGAGGAGTTCACGTCACTTAAACCTGCGGATAGAAAAAGTTACAAGTCACATGCGGTGTTGGGAAGTATGAATACATGTACCGAGAATACGTAGGCAGCAAGGATGGGACAAGATCTCGTGAGACAAAACTACCACAAGATCGTGCACACATGAGAAAAATGATCTTGTGGGTGTGTTTACATTTGGATTAGACAAAGAAATTTGAATATTGATGAGATGCACCTCTTACAGTTCCAAAAGAAAGTACTAGAGCGGAAACAAAAACATGAAATCAAACTGAATCATGAAATTTATACATAAGGAATAATGTTAAAATCTTAAAATAAAGTCTTTTTTTCGTTCCCAATCGTGTCTCTTGTCTCGTCTTGTGGAAATTTTGTCTCATCCCATTCCTAGTTTTCTGAATCCTAACTTTGAGTAACTGCATTCTGGTACAGTTTCTCTTTCATTTGGTGGTGTAGTTACTTTACTAAACTCAAAGGAATAAATTGCAGATAGGCTTCAAACTGCACAAAACAAATTACATAAATAGAAAACACTGCTCTTGTGGTGAATATATGTTTGATTTTTCTTTCTACAGTTAGTGAAAGAAACGATGAAACCAACATGAAGCACTTTTTAAATCCTTTGTTGGCGTCTTTACACTATAATGTAAAATGCAACTCTGTGTAAAAGTATTCTAAGTACCATGGGCCATGCAGGTATTCAGTATTCTGTAACTAAATACATTTTCAAAGCATTTTTCCCATCACTGGTCATATGTTTTACTTGTCAAATCTTTACTGGTAATGCTGTGGCTTTTCTATTATATTGGCTATTATTTTACCTGTATTATTACTATCATCTTCCCATTTAACTAGTGTGTTTTGTATATTTTAAGTCATTTCCCTCACCTGCAGATGAATAAAGTTTGTCTAAGTTTATTTTTAAGTTTATTTGTTTGTTAAATAAAGTGTGCTACCTACTGCAGACAAATGCTTTAAGTATGTTATAATGTTGTTTCCTCATCAAAAACACAGCTGGAGTGGTGTTTTGTTTCATTTTCACATGTTTAACACGCAGACAATGCATTTTCAGTTCTTCTCTCAAACGGAGAACACTTTCTTGCACTTTGTAATGTCATGTGGTAATACAGGAAGTGCTTCACAAGGGTCATCTGGATAATTTCAGCCCTAGAATTTCACATTTATACTGTAAGGTTTGGGAATGTAGACAGACTAATAAACCAGGATTACTGAAAAATGCACAAATGAAACAAAGCACAACTCCATGTATGTTGTTGATGAGGTAACATTATATCATGACTTAAAACTCACAAGAGTGAATTTTGTGTAATGACTGTAATAGACTCCATTACTACTGAGGAATACATCTGAACTGACATTTAATGAAACCACTGTATGAAACCTCCCCCACACAATGTAGGACATGTGGGCAAACCACCTGAGGGTGAAATGGTTGGAGTTACAGGTCTCTCCTCTTGACCTGTTGCCTCCTCGTGCCCGGTCACAGACTGCACATCATCCTGGTCATCTCCTGACCCGTAGTACATCTCTGGAGGAGCCAGGCTGGAGTTCACAACACTCTCATCCACATTCTCACACTTTATGTCTAGAGCATCTTGTTTGAGCGGGTGACCAAAGAGAAAGCCCCCAGTGGAGGGTGGCCCAAAGGAGCTGGCGGGCACAGTGGTGTGGTAGCCCTCTGCGCCCCCCTGGTTCGGATACACGTGTTGAGCCACGACAGTGCCGCCTAAAGAGGAGTAGGTGATGGACGGGCGGCTGGTCAGCACTCTGTCAATGACATCAAAGAACTTCCAGGAGCGCGTCTTGTGGTTGTCTTTGATGCGCCTGTACTCCAGTCTCATCTTCTTGATCTTCTCCCTGCACTGGTCCCCGGTGCGGTAGACGCCCCTCTCCTGCAGCGCACGGGCGATGCGGTCAAAGACGCGCTGGTTGCGCAGGGAGCTCTCCAGCTCCAGCTGGACCGTGTCATCGGACCACAGCTGGAGCAGCTCCACTATCTCCGGGTCTGTCCAGTTACTGCCCCGCTCGTGCTTTTTGTTGCGAAAGTCCATCTTTTGACATTCACACGTGCTCTGCAGAGATAAACAAGAGTGCTGAGCTTTACGTCAAACTCTGAATGACAAACGTGCCGATAAACGGCACAAGTTGTCATGGTGATACATATTTTACAAGTTAAAAGGTAAAATGTTGTACCTATTAATGCTAAGGCGTTAGTCTCCCCGTGCAAACCGCTCCTAAACAAACCAGCGCGCTCCCTGAGGACTGACAGCGGCGTTCAGCCCTCATGCTCCATGGTTTAACCCGGCTTGGACTGGTTTGGTCCGACACGGCTTTGTTCAGACCCGTGCTAGGTCACTAGGTTCATTCTTCACGAATCTTTATCATAACTTGTTAAAATGGGGACTGGACGCGTAGAAAAATATCTACATCCGGGTTGACAGCACATGCGTGCTGTTCTATTCCGGGATAACTTTGGTCCGTGTTAGCTTGTGAAAGCGAGCTGTTTTCACTTCTTCCAGGCTGTGGCGGTGTAGAAGCAGGCGAGTCAGACCGACCTCCCAGGGACCCGTGCTTCCCCCTCACGGCCACGAGATGGAGCCAGAAGCTCGATAACAAACCCGCGCGCGTGCTTCACAGGGGGCGCGTGTTTTCACTCACGGGTTCTCCTGACATCTTCATTATTTCACACAAAGAAACAGCGGCTTATTATGGCTTTTACAGGAACACCGATTTATACAACTGTACACTGCTCAAACAACAGATTTGCGCTTGGTTTTGGAAATGAAAAGTAAAATACTTTTGTCAAACATGTGCAGGAAATGAAACAGAAACGTAAATTATCTTTAAATTTGGAAATTGAAGCAGAAAACCAAATTATGCTTTCATACATAAATTATGGCCCAGGGTGAGGAGTAATATCATAACATTAAATTTGCTGAACATCACAGCTTTACGACCAGAGCCCAAAACCTCTGCAGAAACTTAACAAAGGCTTAGTGATTATTTAATTAACATAAATTATTTGAGGACACTAAAAACAGAACACCGCCCTTCTGGACTCCATTGGTAGTTAAACCCAGCGCTCTCTACTACCGCTGCTTTTTAAACGTGACGTATTTCCTGGAGAAAAGGCTTGTGGCAGTTTGTTGTCACCCTCGTCCAGTCAGAAGCCGCTGTACTATGGGCACGTAAGCCCTTCATCATTTCTTTATTGTGCGCGCGTCAGATGTCTCGTTTATTGCAGAGGGCGACGCTTTCAGACGTGCAAACTCCCAGAAGCGACTAAAGAAACAAGATCTGCTCCAAAGCGACGCGTTTGAACATGAAACCGCGTGCAAACCGGGCACGCTTTTTGCGCGAAGGTAGATAGTTGTCTCCACCGACACTTTTGGGGATGATGGGCGTGCACGGATAGCAGTCGTGCGTTTTTTGGGGGATTTTCATTTGCAAAGCGCGCTGACCGGCTTGATGTAAAGTTCTCAGAGCGCTTGCAAAAAGAAAATAGTTGTTCACCCGGAGGAGCGCAGAGGAAAGAGGAGAAGAAACGATGTGGAGGCATGAAGCTCCGTCCGTGTGATCGGGACCGCTACGGTACGACACCTGCTCCTGCTTCTCCAGAAAAGTGTGGGTAGCAAGGAATATTTTAAGTCCTAAACATATCTGTGGAAGAATCTGTGCATTTGCAAGCAGCGTTTTTGCACAGTGTAGTGATTTAAGCTACTGGGGCACTTGTTTTCCTAGTTAAGTTTGGTTATCCTTTGAGTATTTGTATTGTTTTGCTTATTTCTTGCAAGGTAAGCTTTCATTTCAGTTTATTTAATGCAGTTATCTACCACACTTTTTTATTGTTTTATCAGGATGCGTGCGTAATTTCACATAATCCATAATTGCTTCCATAGTTTTTTTGTTTTTATTTTCCTCTTAACAAAGAAAAAGCATGGGTTTGTACTGCTTCTCCAAGTGTTTGAAGCACTTTCCGGGTACTGTAGTTGTCACTGTATTTTCTCTATACGCTCTACTGTTGTGGTTAGGATGTGAAACACCCACTAGGCTTTTTCAACAACAGATAAAGTCAAGGTCAGAGCAATTCAAAACATCTATTTTCAAAACGGATTACACTGCCTCACTCGCTGCACGAAAATAGTGGCTATAAATGGAAGCTTTTGTATCTCTTGACAGAGCATAGCTGCATCTGATCAGGATTGAACTTGGTATCGGGAGTTCTGCCTACAATGCATTTTATTTCTGCAAGTTTTCCTCTGTAAACTGTCACTGCTCCTGTTCCTTCTCACCTCCGCGAATGATTAGGTGCTGTCCGATCCGTTGCCTGACCAGCCAGCCCCGTTTACATTCTGTTTGAATCCAGAAGGGACTAAAATTGGACAACAGAGGGTGAAAATCCTCCGTACAAACTTGACAGGATCAAACCACAGCTGCTAATTTGCAGTATCTCAAGTCTCTCAAATGCGAAAGACATCTCCTCTCCAATATTCTCGTATCATTCAGAACAAAATTTATAACTTCTTGTACCCGAGATAAGTAATAGTTTGGTGCTTCGATTGTTGATTCTGCAAAAATCCACGCCGTTTCTCAGTTCTTTATGAAGGTTTTTCCCCGTTTTTATGTTTAAGCAGCTTTGTTTGATTGTTTTTAGAGGTTTTTGAGACACAGTTTTCACAAAATGAGACAAGATTTTGACATTATGTATAAAACGTGATCCTATTTGTAGTTTTGGTCTAATGTTTTTGTATTTAATGTTATTTTTTTTGTAACTGTAGACTATTTTTGTCCAATCTAAATGAAGACTGAATGGAGAAAAAAATCTCATCAGATCATTTTTCTTATGTGTGCACAATCGTGGCAGTTTTATGTCAGGAGATCTTGTCCCATCCTTGTATGTTTTTGATGCGAACGGACCATGCTTCGCTCTGATCGGCTGATCCGCCCGTCAATCACAGCCTCTGACATCAGGGAGACGGCTCCAGCTCCAGATCTGCTCGTCTTTATGAAGTTTTGTCAAAGCGTGTGGTTCTGGCTGGCCAAGTGAGTCTGCTCCCAGCATGTTGTAGTCTCCTCACTCGCTTTCTTTGCAATCACACACTGTAATGTAGCAGCATGATTTTCTCCATCTCCAGAGGATCCTTGACCATCACTGGTGCTTAATGAATGTAGCTGTTTTCTCCAGTGCTGTTTCTGAGGACAGCCCAGAGCACAGTGTGGGTGTCAGTTTGGCAGTCGGTAACGCTGAAATTGAGTTGGAGTGCTGCATATGGTCCGTCCAGCTCCGCGCTTATCGGCACAAGTGGAAATTATGTATTCCAGTCTGAAAGTGTTATTTGAAACGACGGAGTTTTAAAAGCAACAGGAACACGGCTGTCTTTCTCTGCTTTTATACATACATTTGTTGAATTATGGCATAACTGTTGGTACATTTACAGCAATAAAGTGTCTGGTTTGTGCAGTTTTGCCTAACAAATAAAGAAAAGTGGTTCCTTCTCAACCCAGGACTCACTTGAAAAGGTTCTGAATCTCTTTCGATTTGCTTTAAATGTTTAATGACGAATTGGATAGTCGTTTTTTTTAAAGGTACATTGTGTAACTTTTCTGGTGGAGGGTCCGTCAAATGCTTTTCTTTGTGGAGACGTTATTGCTTTGTCAGGAATGTTTCACTGTATGGTATTAAAAGTGTTGTAGTCAAGACTGCACTAATCGAGACCAAGACTAGTCTGAGACCACAGGGTCCCGAGTCTAGGATGAGACCAAGACCTCTGAGGGTTGAGAGTGAGACAAGACCAAAACTTTTAAAGGTTGAGACCGAGACAAGACTGAGATCATGGCACACTGAGACCAAATCAAGACCATCTTTGTCATTTCCTACATTTATTTTATTTTATTTTACAGTTATTTTGGTGCATTTATATCAATGTTTTTATAAATCTATCTCCATTTGATCTGGTTAATGTTCATTTAAGCTGAATTTTTAAATTCTGCGCTCCTTTTTTGGACCCTGGCCCATAGTTTGAGAACACCGTATTTAATCTCACTTCCATTGGCACTTTACAGAAAACAACTTTAAAGTGAATGAAGTGGGTTTTATCAAGTTCAAAGATTTACGATTAGATTATCTTACTGGTTTTGTAGTGATATTTAGCAGCCTCTGGACATTTACCGGCCGTAATGAAATATGATCGCACTCATCGCATGTCAGACCACGAGACCAAGACCAAATGCGAGGCCATATGCGAGGCCAAATGCGAGGCCAAATGCGAGGCCAAATGCGAGGCCAAATGCGAGGCCAAATGCGAGCCCAAGACGAGCCCAAGACGAGCCCAAGACGAGCCCAAGACGAGCCCAAGACGAGCCCAAGACGAGCCCAAGACGAGCCCAAGACGAGCCCAAGACGAGCCCAAGACGAGCCCAAGACGAGCCCAAGACGATAAAAAAGCAGTCTCGGTGCCAAGATCAGTCTTGAATACTAAGACACTAGGTATTAAACCTTTCTATCGTCATGGACATTAAAGCAGACCTAGTTACAGGTCAGATCTGTGAAGAGGCAACCCCACTCGCAGTCAGAATGTATGTTTTTGTAGGTATTTTTGAGCTATAAATCCACCTGTAATTGAATAAATATAAGGTAGAGCTGTTTAGTGCCATACTGTGGAACATTCCAGAAAGAACAATGGCATATTCATAGAAACAAGCAGATGACAGACACCCACCCAAAACGTTACATAGTGCACTTTTTAGGAGACATTGCTATTGATGAAATGTTGTCAGAGGTGCTTCTTTGTAAATTGGTTCTTTAATCTCTTCTGTACCTGCCCAAGGACTGCAGATGGAAAGTAGTTTGAACATCTTTTCTCTTGGAGATCAATGTATTCTGTGCTCTGTCCTTGTTTTAAATAAATACATAAAATAAATAAACATGGTAGAATAAAGATTAATCAAGATACACTACATCACTTTTCTGATGGAGAGCATGTCACTTGCTTGTCTCCATAATCTTATTGCGTTGCCTGGAACGATTGACAGCATTGTATTAGACTTATGCATGTATTTTTGCATTCAATCAATTATTTCTTTTTACACTTCACAACGTTTAATTTCTACTGTGAAACTTTCCAGGCAAAGCAACATCAAGCAAGTAGTGCAGCTTCTGCCAGAGAAATGCCATAGGTTATTATTCAATTAAAGTATAAAAACATGATTAAACATAATAAAGTGAGGGCTGAAATAGACCTGTCACCATAGTTACTATATGGACTTCAATATTGGATGGATGAAACATTAATATTTATCATGGGAACTTTTCCTTTGTATTTGTGGTGAAGTTTTTTTTTGTTTTTTTTCTGTTACATTTGAGCTGTAGAGGGTTGAGTAAATAACTTCTATGATACATTAAGTGTTTTATTTATTTATTGCGGCTCATGTTCATTATCAATCCAGGACATATAGAATTGTTTTTTGGAGGGAAATCTTGCTCTAGTTTGTGTCAGTAGGAAAATGGCATTTGGCGTTTGTGTCTTTTCAGCAATATATCAAAATAGTGACAGGCGTAAGTTGAAATTTAAAGGTGCACTGTGTAACTTTACTGGTGGAGGGAAACGCTATTGGCTCGTCTCTATGGAGATGTTATTGCTTTGCCAGGAAAATTCTATTATATTCAGTGTTTCTTTCTAACATTTATTCTTTTTTCTGACATTCTTACTGTAAACGGAGGTTGCCATTCCATTGATCTAACCTGTAACTTGACCTAGTGGTGTCATCTGCTTGTCTCCATGGAGAAATTATTATGTTAATGCCTACAGTGGGACATTTTGAGCTCATCTTTAAAGGTGCATGTGTTAATTTTGCTGGTGGAAGGTTCGTAAAATGCTTTTCTTCATTGAGATGTTATTGCTTTGTCTGGAAAGTTTCACAATGTGGCATTAAACCTTTCTATCTTCAAGGAGTCCAAACCAGGCCAAGTTACAGGTCAGATCTGTGGAAAGGCAAGCCCGCTCACAATTAAGGCACCTGTTTTTCTGTGCATTTTTGAGCTATAAAACCACCTGTATTTGAATAAATTTAAGGTAGAACTGTTTAATGTCATACTGTGGAATAGGGGTGTGCAAAAATATTGAATTATCGATATATCGTATAGTTTAATGTGATGATACAGTATTGATATTGTGGGCTGCTGTATTGATATATCGCCAAGAGTATTTTTTGGTATATTTTACTAAATTATTTTGTTACAGCGGGACAGTTTTGATGCTTGTTTAGTGGAAGGAAACTCTTTTATGCAGCTCATTTGACAGTTTTGATGATTAAAATTGGAGTTTTTCATATTAATTTTGCACAAGAAGACTTTTAGCATCACAGCCATGATTTAGCTTTTATTTTTGTTCAACCGTACTGAATCGATTTGAAATATAGTGTATCGAATCGAAAGCTGACTGTATGTATCGTATCAGCAGCTTCTTAATGAAACCCAGCCCTACTGTGAAACATTCCAGGCAATGTCATATCCACAGAAACAAATAGGTGAACCCCCAACATAAGAGTTACTTAGTGCATCTTTAAAGTTTCATTCATATTTTTCTTCCTATGAGCTACATTCTAAGAGTAGATGCTCTTGCTGC